GTTGCCCCATGCATGCCAGGTACTCCCCCTGGTCTTGCCTCTGCCTCACCCACAAGGTCCCTCACCCCCCCCCCACCCCCCCCCCCCCCCCACCCCCACCACACACACCTTTACAGGCGTCCTCCTAACCACCCCTGCCCCCTACCCCACTGCCCCATACCTGCACGCAGTTGGGATGGTGGACACGCTGCAGGATCTCGATCTCTGCCCTGAAGTCATTCACCGCGATCTCAGAGGAGGCCTTGAGCACCTTGGCGGCCACTACCGTGCCAAACCTGGCGGTGCGGGGAGGGGGAGTGACGGTGAATGGACTTGCAGAAGGGTCAGGCAGGGGCATGGAGTTGGGAAAGGGGACTGCCAGGAGTGCTAGGAGGCTGCGCACTTGCCATAAACAGCAGATGCCAGCGCATTCAGGAGCAGCAGCTGCCAGGACCCGAGCCAGACCACCAAGCAGACCCTGCAGCAGCCCCACTCACCACTTGGCTCGGTGCACGACGCCAAACTCTCCCTCGCCCAGCTTCTCCCGGATGTGGATGGTGGAGGGGTCCAGCTCCCACTCGAGGGCAAAGCCCGACGCCTTTTGCTGGGGCGCACGGAAGCCGAGGCCATTGACCAGCTCGGAGTCCTCCAGCGGTATCAACTGCAGTAAGAATGGAAGTGTATGCTTGCTGCAGGGATGATCTGCCATACACACACAAAGCCTATTCCTTTCGGCAACCTGCTGGCGATAGGCATCCCAGCCATAGTGGTACATTTCAAAGCACACCATTGCCCTGCGTCTCCTCACAAGTTTCCTCCTCACCACACCTTGCCAGAGGCGTGAACCTTGCCGCCAGCCTTCATCAGGAGGGAGGCCACCAGGTTGAAGTCGCCACGCACAGCATCCTGAGGGAACAAATGGCGCATGTCGGGGGGTGAGATCGCTACTTGCTGTGGGGCATGGGTCCCCTTGGAGGCCGGGAAGAAGGTATAACCACATCGAGGCAGCTGCCGTGGGTGGTCGATTCAAGAGTCACAAGGCGTCAGGAGCTCCTGACCCGTGTGCTGAGCACAACACGCATCGTCGTACAACAGATCTCACCTCCAAGGGGGTGCGGTTGAAACGGTCGAGCGCATTGACATTCACACCCTCGGCAAGGAGCCATTCAGTGACGCTGTAAGCCCCTTCGCTGGCAGCTAGGTGCCTGAGATGTGTTGGAGAGATGACTCCTGAGAGAGCTGAAGCCCTAATAAACGCACGTGATCTCTCATGGAAAGCGTTGCAAGCTGGCTACACCACCGCTCTCACAAGGGGGTTCGCTTGTCATAGTCGCAGCAATCAGGTGCGGCCACCTGTCGATGGGTTGCAGGTGGGGATGAGGGAGGGTGGAAGTGCTCAAACTTTGGAGCGAGTAGTTCCAGGTTGGATAAGCTAAGCAGATCGCGCAGTTGCCAGTCTGGCAGGTGAACATCGCGTGCCAGCCGCACCTTCAGGTTCCACAGGCGTACGATACGTTGGCACCGTTTGAGGTCGCCGACGCAGGCGAAAAACAGCAACTCTGTGATGGCTCGACGTTGTGCGGCCTGCGCAGGATTTGGGAAGATAAGAATGACCACGAGGGAGGGAGAAGGAGGGGCAAAGCAGGTACCGGCAGAGCCTCTCACCGAGTTGCCGTGCAGCGACGCAATTTCGGCTGCAGTCTCATCCGGGACGCTGCCATTGAATGTGTCCTGCCGCTCGATCAGTTCCTCCTCTGTGGGGCCCCATCTAATGGTGAGTCGTCTGTCTATGAGCTGCTCATCGCTGTTGCTTGAGCCGGAGTTCATGGTGCCGGTGACTTGCACCATGCCTAGGTCACACAAGGGGGAAAGAACCCTATCGTGCGCCACACACGATCACGCCCCGGTATCCGTGCAATCGCCGTGTTTCCTCGACTTCAGGACCCGCGAGGACCGCTGGGCGAGGCGGGAGTGGCGCCCTCGGGTCGGCACAACGGGCTCTCCGTGCCCCATCCGAGCCTTCCCGCCGAAATTTGTTAAGATTCCCTGCCGCCCGGAGCGCTGTAGGGCTTCAAGGTCTGCAGCGAGCCTGAGCGTGACATTTCTATCGAACAATGCACAAGCAGCCAATTTCTACCATTTGGGCAAGCTTCATACCTGTTAATCATCTGCGACTGGTTGTAGTCTCGCATAATCCGATCGGCGAAGCTCCCACGACAACGCAAGGCTTTGGAGTGCCTGGCGAATGCCGCACTGTTACTCCCGTTACTTCCTAGTCCATTCCCTTTTCGATGCGTTGCGTGATAATACCCAACTCGAAAGCCCCTGGCGTGTGGCCTCCTTGAAGGACCCTGAGTCGGCAAGGGGTTCAGATTTCGCCATCTGATTGGCAAAACTCAGCTTCTTACATTCTAGGACTGGGAAATGAGTATTTTTACATTACTTTGCATGGTACACGCACTTATCGCAGAGCTTTTCAACCTCAGGCGAATCAGCCCATTGGGGAGTATTTTGGAATGTGGGAAGAAATCATGCTCGACGATGGCTCCGGGGGATGCCATTCGCGAAGATTAGATTCAAGCCAGAGACTGGTAGCTTTGAAGCCTAAATCTCCGCGGCGTATTCTTTTATTGGGTCCCCTGCGATGCAGGGGTCCAGTCTTCCCACCGGCGAGCTCACCGTGTCGGAGGAGCACGTCCGATACGCGTTCCAAGCCCTGATCAACCATTTTTCGAGGCACGACCACTATCGAGAAACACCAAACTTTGAGAATTGGAACTGGTAAGCTATGGATGCGAGCAGTTGAGACCTCGGCGAGGCAGGGCCCGAGGTATGCACCAGGCGAATATGCTGGGGAGGCCTGGGCAACACGATGCACCCACGCCCACCCACCCGCAGCCCCTTATTCGTGACCTGGAAGAAAGCTAGCAGGAATGGTGAGCGACGCCTGCGGGGCTGCATCGGCATTCTGGAGCCCCGCCGTCTGCATCAGGCCCTCCACGACTATGCCCTGACCAGGTCTGGGGGATGGGACCTGGACTCTGGGACACACCAGCAATGTCCAGACCTGCCTGGCCGATCCCAACCAGAGACCAATGCGCTCCAGACGAACAAGAGCGTCTCACTTCCCACGCTGCAGTGCGCTGCACGACCGCCGTTTCCCACCCATCGAGGCCCATGAGCTGCCAGCGCTGGAGTGCACCGTGTCCCTCCTGCATTCATTTGAGACGGGCGGTTCCTGGGAGGACTGGGTCCCGGGAGTGCATGGCATCATCATCGAGTTTGCGTGCCCCCTCACCGGGGGCACCCGCAGTGCCACGTTCCTGCCCGAGATTGCCCAGCAGGAGGGCTGGACCCGGGTGCAGACCATTGACCAGCTCATTTCCAAGGCGGGGGCCAGGGGCGGGCAGGCCAGCCTTCGCTCCATCCGTGCTGGACTGTCTCTGGTCAGATACCAGAGCACTGCGGCCAGTCTCACACACGCACAGTGAGTGATTCCCAGGGCTCCATTAGCGTCTTGTGGGACTGAGTAGGTGCAGGACCACTGTTCAGTGGCTTGGGTGCAAGGGTGGGCGGCGGAAGCCTGCCGAACATATTGACACCGATCCTCCTTCTCACGGTGCAGATTCTTAGCACTGCAGAAGAGGAGGGCGGAGGTCCAAGCGCCTGAGCAGGAGCCATGCATGGTAGCTGTCCAGGCTTGAGACCTGTGCCATCACTTTCCCATCTGTTTCTTTGCCCGGAGCTTGGCTGTGCCTTCCATGCACACTGCACAGTTGAACTGTACCCTGATAATACCGTCAACTCCCAAGTGTACCCAAGCCCCAAGGAACTTTGTAACACCTCTCCCTGTAAGTGAAGGCGCACCCTTGATATGAAACCATTACGCGCGCGCGCGTATTCGACGACCAGAGGGTAGAGTTATGAATACGCATGTGTGAATACACATCAATGCAGAGTCTCGCTCCTTCAAAGATATATTTATTCCACGTAGGATGGCCATGGTGGCCCCGAGCGAGGGTGGTGCCATCCCCTGGCCTCTGGGTGCCACCAGCTACGCCATGCGAACCAGGGTGCGCATGGGCGCTGATCTGGTGTGGAACGCACACCTCATTGGGGTTGGTTCAAAAATTTGTATCCAACGCGCATTGTTCACTTCCCGTGTCCCAGATCGGGGAGGCCAAGGTGCTTGTTGTCGGGGCGGGAGGAATCGGCTGTGAGCTACTCAAAACCTTGGCAATGAGTGGATTCAAGAATTTAGTAGTGGTACGCTCATCTTGGTGGTGCAGATTCCGGTTCTTTGATGAGATGAGACGCATTCCCCACCTCTGTGGCCCTGTCCGTCCCACTTCTGAGGTCTTGATCATCATGTCCCCCCCCACCAACCCCCCCCCACCTCTGTCAGATCGACCTGGACACAATCGAAACCAGCAACCTGAACAGGCAGTTCCTGTTCAGGCAACAGCACGTGGGGCAGAGCAAGGCCTCGGTCGCTGCGGCGGCGGTGCAGGCGATCGTCCCCGGGGTCAGCATCACCGCGCACCGAGCCAACGTTAAGGAGGCGCGGTTCAGCGCAGACTTTGTTTCCGGCTTCGACCTGGTCTTGAACGGGCTGGACAACTTGGAGGCACGGCGCCACGTCAACCGGCTGTGCCTGGCGGCGCGCGTGCCCCTCGTGGAGAGCGGTACTGCAGGGTACCTGGGCCAGGTGTGTCGGAGGAGGGTGCGGGTGGTGGACGAGGCCACATGAGGCCTTGAGGGGGGGGGGCGGTGTGGGATGCAGTGGCACACAGAGTGTGGGGCTAGGGGCAGGGGATCAGGCACCAGCGCCCATGGCGCGGGCACGAGTGGAGGAAACCCGCGGGGTCGACCCGACCCGCATCCTCACGCTCGAACTCAACGGTTGCCTCGCCCAAACCCATCTCTTGCCAGGTCAGCGTGCACCTGGGCGGCGTCACCGAGTGCTTTGAGTGCCAGCCCAAACCCGTGCCCAAGACCTACCCGGTGTGCACCATCCGCAACACCCCGGACAAGCCCATCCATTGCATTGTGTGGGCCAAGGACCTCCTCTTCGCCAGGCTCTTTGGGCCGCCAGAAGCCGCCACCGACCTGGACGACGCCGGCGAGGACCCAGGCATGGTGTGGGAGTTTGGGGGGGGGGGGGGGGGGGTCGGTGTGTGCATGAGAGCCCTGTGCCGATTGTCCTGTGACATTCTCAGTGCGGCGAGAGGGAGAAGCACGACACCCTGTTCCCGGCCGCGCAGGGGATGCCTCAGCAGAGGCAGCAACGACGGCAGGCCCTGCGCTCCTGCGCCGCAGCGGCGAGCCGGCGGAAGAGTACGCCCTCCGCGTCTTCCAGGCGGTGTTTGTCGCCGACATGGAGCGCCTGGCTGGGGTGGAGGAGATGTGGAAGGGGCGGGAGCCCCCGACGCCCTGCGCCCTGGATTTAGCAGCGGTGGGCGAGCGTGTGCGGCTGGCCGAGGAAAGCGCGGCGGGGCGTGGGCCAGGCGTCGCAGCCTCGGGCATGTCTTCCGCGCTGGGCCTGCCCGACGCCCAGCGCGCCTGGGCGCCGGAGGACAGCGCGGCCGTGTTCCTGGCCAGCGTCCGCGCTTTCCTCACCCACCGGGCCGAAGAGGTGGGCGCGCTGCGCTTCGATAAAGACGACGCACTGGCGACGGAGTTTGTGGCGGCCGCCGCCAACCTGCGTTCACACTGCTACGGCATCCCCCCCCAGACCCTCTTCGAGGCCAAGGTTTGTGGGCGTGTGGCTGGGTGGATAGGGAAAGAGGCTGTTGGGGTGTAGGGAGCCTCCCAGGGTGTTTTTGGCGGCTGGAAGGGACTGCATGGGGAGCAGCGTGGTCGGTGGACGATTGGGAAGCTTGAAGGGTGGGCCGACTCTGCAACCTCGTTCATTCCTTGGGTGGCTAAGAACTGGCCGCAGGGCTCAGGTCCACTCCCCAAATGTACACCTTGCCCACCTGTCCGCCACCTGCCAGGGAATGGCGGGCAACATCATCCACGCCGTGGCGACGACCAACGCCATTGCCTCAGGGCTCATCGTGGTGGAGGCCATGAAGCTTCTGGCAGGTGGGAATAGTGGGGTGGCGATCGCAGTTCACTGAGACTTCAGTGATGGCGTTCTGGCCAAACAATGCCAGCGGCAGTAGCTTGCATGTGGATGCACCCTTCCAATGCTGCTCTCCTTGGCCCCATATTCCCACCGCAGGCCAGTCAAAGGCGTGCCACACCACTTTCTTGCTTGCGGAGGCGAGTAACAAGAAGCTGCTGACGCCCATGCAGTCGCCGGAACCCAACCCCAACTGCGTCATCTGCGGCAAGGCGCAGCTGCTGCTGCACGCCGACCTGCATGCCCTGACCCTGGGGGACCTCATCACACAGGTGGGGATGCTGGACATGATTGGTGTGGGCCCGTCATGTTGTCTGGCCGGAAGTATGGCTTTGCTTTCACGGCCCAGGCGTCAATAGTCTGCATCACCTGTGCAGACCCCCGTTCCCGTGTCCCCCTCGTACAGGTCCTTAGGGGACGAATGGCACTGGTGGAGCCGACGCTCGTGGCGGGGAGCTTCATGTACGAGGAGGGCGAGGACCTGGAGGAGGATGAGGTGCGAGGAGGGACTGTGCTGCCCACATGGGGAAACGGTTGGTGCTGGTTGAGGCTTGGTGGGCGCCCCCGAAGACTTCGAGCTGCTCATGTGCCCTCAGGGAATCGTTGGTGCAGCCTCTGCCCAAGCCGATCCCCTGCCTCCCCCGCGCATTGCCAGGTGGCGTTCCACTCGCAGAACTTGACAAAGCCCCTCAGTCAGCTGCCGGGCGGCGGGTTTGCCACGGGTACGCTGGTCGAGGTCACAGATCAGGCGCAGCAGACCAGCTTCCGCATCCTCGTGCAGCATAAGGTGAGAAATATGCGGTGTGCAAGCATAGCCTGCTTGCCGCTCCGAAGAGCTAACATCCTCATGGGTGAAGGGGTGCCATGGTCTGTGCACCTCCAGCTGACAGGCAGCAACCGTGCTGAGGCGCGCTGTGAGTTCTAGGGTTCATCTCCGTCATGTACATCCTCCATTGCAGGACACTTGGGATGAAGATGCAGAACCGCTGAGGTGGGAGATCCGGGGCGAGCTGCCTGCCAGCACTTTTGGGAAGGAGGGTGCGGGTCCCCAGCCCGACGATGGCAGTGAAGTCGAGGAGGAGGGCTTCGAGATCGTGGAGGAGGGCACGGCCCTGCCCAGCAAAACTGCAGCAGGTGGGTGGTTGGAGGTATGAGGTGGGCCTGTTGCCCAGGATATTGCAATTGGAGGTATTTCCGTCAGGATTGAAGGCTTGCCATCTGCACACGGTCCCGAGTTAGTACTGTGGCGTGCAGCATCTCTCACCTCGCTGTCCACTCCCGCAGAGCTACGCAAGCGGCCAGTGGACGGGGTGGCTGACAGTGACGGCCGAGCCAAGAAGTGGCGACGAGACTCTGAACAGGGTGTGGATGGACAGTGAGAAGAGGTACCAATGCTGTCAGTGTAATTATTTTGTCAGGAGTTCCTGGTCTACGAGGTTTGGGTTTAGGTCTTTTCAGCTGTGTCCTGTAATGGCTTCACTTTGTACCGAGTAAATAGTGGGAAGAGGCACACAGAGGCGGTTCGGACGTGTCTCGGCGCATCGCGCGCCCGCGCCTGTATAGATTTCCTGCCCGCCTGGAAACGTCTTGGGAATGCATATACGCTCCCATCTGCAACCTAGCAAAGATGAGATGTAACATATCCTAATTGCATCAGCCAGTAAACGTTTGCACATAGGCAGTGCCGTAGCGGGAGCACCATGCCTAGCTTTCAGTACGTCCACATTCCAGCAGACCCGTGAGCAGTGGCGTGGAGCGGGCCTGCGTGCTCGATGGTGTAGAAACATTCAGCCTGCTGGATTGGTAATGTGAATATATACATATACCTGTATAAGTGTACATACTCGATTTCAACTTCACTCAGGTCGCAGCCTCCCGAGGAGAAGACGCTCGTGTGGAAGGAGGGCAAGGAGGTAGAGTGCCTCTTAGATGAGATCAAGGTGTGGCAAGGAGAACAAGATGCTCCCTCTGAATGTTTAGGTGTCACAGAAGTGAAGCAGCAGCAGTAAGATGCATGTGGGGTGCAGGGCATACCCTGTGACCTGCCCAGGCTCCAGCCCCCACCATTTCACCCACCAGCATGTGAGCCCCTCTGCTCGCATCTCAACGCCCCCAAACCTGATTACTCCAATCCCATCACCACTCTCCAGGCCCACTTTGCGCGCACCAGCCCGGTCAAAACCCCCGCCCAGCAGGCCGCGCAGGTCGCGCAGCTGCGCGCCAAGCTGCCGGCGGGCGCCGCGGCGCCCGACGACCGCCTGCTGGTAGCGGCCACCTCGCTGAACATGGTGGAGAGCATCGCGCTGCTGCCCAACCTGCCGGTCCATGGCTTCGTGGGCGTGAACATGTACGTGGACGACGAGGGGTCCATCCGCGAGGCGCCCTTCAACGCGCGGGCCAGCGAGCTGGCCACCCTCTGCGGCAAGCCACTGCAGGTGCGCGGCGACGCTTTCTTGTCGCGCGTCCTGGACGACGGCGAGGCCTTCCGCCGCCTGGACTTTGGCGCCAACGACCTGTCCTCTTCCGCGCCCTGGGTGGCGGCCGCGGGGGCCAAGAATGCCGAGGCGCGGCGGGGGGAGGGCGCGCAGGCCATCTTGCAACGCATGCAGGCGGAGGGGGCCGGTCCGGGGCCCGCCTCCAGCCCCTCGCCCGCCGATGCGCTCAAGCAGCAGGGCAATGCAGGTGTGTGTGGGGGGGGGATGGGGTAGGAGGGGTTTGAGGTGGTGATGGCTGTGACGGCCTGTGGGAGGGGGGTCATAGTATAAGGGAGGCATGAGGCGCATGGCTCAATGGAATGGAGCAAGGCCGCCTGGCAGGGGGTGCGAGTCATGGCTTTGGCTGCACTTACTGTGCCCCATTCTACGATCCACCACATCATGAAGGCAGTTTTTTGACGTGCATGTCGAGCGTCATCCTCGCTACTAGCCTCTCATGTCCTCCCACGCTCCCTACCAATCCTGTACACACACGCCCTTCCACACCCTCCTCCCATGACCACAGCCTTCAAGCGGTGTGAGTGGGAGACAGCGGTGCGGCTGTACACCCAGGCACTGGAGGCCGAGTCCGGCCTGGTGGCCGCGCGGAACAACCGGGCGCAGGCGCTGCTCCACCTCCAGCGCTGGCGGGAGGCGGGCGCCGACGCGGAGGCGGTACTGGCGGCGCAGCCCGACAACGCCAAGGCGCTACTGCGCCGCGCTGCTGCGGCGCAGGCGCTGGGCGAGCACGCCGCCGCGCGCGCCGACCTGGAGCACGTCCTGGTCCTGGAGCCGGGCCACCGAGAAGCCGCGCTGCGCCTCGCCAGCCTAACCTGACCTTACTCGGGGGCTTTGTGTGTCACAGCGCAGGTGTCAAATCAGGCACACGATCGCCAGCAGTGCGGAGGGGGGCCATGCCAGGGTTGTGGGAGGGCTGGTGCTGCGGATGGCATCCTCATCAACCCCTGGTGACGCTAGCAGACTCCGAACACGGGAGGGGGGTGATTACAACGAGGCACGGTGAACGACAGAGAGCTAAAGAGCTAGGGTCCGGGACATCGCCGGGGCGCAGCACAGACAGTGGGGGGAGGTGTGCAGGTCTGGTTGGGAGCGGGGCCGGCCCCCGCGTCTGCCGAGCCGTGCCCCGTCGGTTTCTCGCGGGTTGCCAGGCGGCTCGGTCACGTGGCCGGGTGCGAATCCCTCATGCCAGGACAGACGGGCTGGGCCGGAGCACCAGCCCTGCACCCCCCACCCGCCCCCTCCCTCCCTGCCCCTCACTCCTGCCCGCCGGCGAGGTTCAGGAAGTAGGCCTCCAGGCGCTCGGCGTCGCCGATGAGGCGGGCCACGCCCTCGCGCAGCAGCTCCCGCGCGGCCAGGCCAAGCCTGTCCTCGAACAGGGCTCGGTCCAGGGTGGCCGTCTCCTGGTCGGAGAAGTCGTGGGCCTGCGCGGCGGCGGGGGTGAGCGCGGGCGCCAGCTCGCCCGGCGCCTCGTCCTCGTCGGCGCGAAGGCCGTCGTTGTAGCCCTCCAGTGTGGCGGCTGCTGCCAGGGCCTCCAGCACGCGCGGCCCCACCACCAGGTAGTCGCAGCCCGCCAGGCGCAGCGCCTCGGCCTTGGTGCGCAGGCCGGAGGCCATGATGCGCGTCTTGGGGTGGAAGCGCTTGACGTAATGGTAAAGCGTCTCCACCAGCACCAGCCCGGGGTTGACGCTCTCGCCGTACTCGTCAGCCACAGCCAGCGCGGCCTCCCGCGGACCCTGGCGCATGGCGTGGAGGGGAGGATCAGGGGGGGGTTGGAGGGTCCGGCCAGGATGCTTGACACTTTGAATGAGAACCTGATGCAGCTGATGTGTGGCGGCCCTGGGCGCCGCCACGCCTTCCCGCCACTTCTCACACCAAACCCACCTTGGGGTTCTTGATCACGCCCGGGTGGCGCTTGTACCAGTCGGCCACGGCCCCCACGTTGGGTTGGATGACCGACACGCCGGCCTGGGCCGCCGCGGCGCCCTGGGTGAAGCCGTAGACCAGGACCAGGTGGGTGGCAATGCCCTCGGCTTCCAGCGCGGCCGCCGCGCGGATGCCGGCCCAGGTGGCGGGGATGCGCAGGACGACACGGTCGCGCGACACGCCCACCTCCTCGTACAACCGGATGAGGCTCTGGCCTCGCGCGACCAGGGCCTCTGCAAGGGACAGTCGTGGGTCGGAAAGGGGAGGGATGAACGTCATTGATCGGAGGCAGAGGACATGGGTTTGGAGGGGCTCAAAGGATGGCGTCGCCATTGTGCAGCAGGCTGCCGAGTGTGTCGGGCATGCACGACTAACCGCTCCTGCAACCAGCGCGCCCAGCCAGGCACACGCAAGGATCCCCTGCCCGCTCGCCGCCGCACCCTCGCTGTCGTGGGCGCGGGGGTCGACCTCGGTGGACACGCGACCGGAGACGTTCTCCAGGAACATGGAGCCGACGTTGACGAGGGCCTTGTCCACCCGCAGGGAGGCTGCCTCTGCGGGGCTTGAGGCCTGGGCGGCGCGGTCGTAGTGCCGCGCCTGCTCCACCGCAAACTGTGCTTGCGTGGGGTGGGCATGCGAGCATGATTCACCAGGTGGATGGGGTGGGACGCGTAATCTTCGGCAGGGAGCCATACCTGAGCTGCCCCCCTCCAGTCGCCCAATAGAGCAAAGAAATCACTGCTGCCTGATCAACTCCACATCTCTCTCACACCTTGTAGCGCCCAAAGCTGGAGGGGGAGCTCAGGATGCCCGCCAGCACGCCGCGGGAGGAGGTGGCGGCCTTGGGAGCCTCGACAGATTGAAGGGTTTGGCTGAGTAGCACGTCGGGGACGATCTGCGCGATGGGGGAGGGAGCCCACGGGGTAAGTAAGGGCACCTGCAGCGCTTGCCGAGAGGTGCAAACCGTATGTAGAAACTGCCCCCTCACCTCGCTGAAGCGCTCCAGAGCCTGCAGCTCGGTTGCAGCCGTCCTCGAAGATGGGGAGATGTAGGCATCGGCAGCCTGGGTGGCCCTGACGCGCACAGCCAGCCTGGCGCTGCGCACGGTGGGTCGGGGCCCCTTCCGAGCCCCGGCCGAGAAGGCCGGGCAGTGCCGAGGGGGGTTCAGAGTGAGCATCGAGCCCTGCATGTGTATGATCGAAGGGATTCTGGCGGTTGGTGGCTCGTGGGGGAAGTGACGATCGCAAGTGGTGTGTCGGACGAGGTCGAGTTGTGCTGAGTCAGATGATGGCGGGAGTTGTCATGGACAACACAATATCAGGAAGAAGCTACTCTTTAAGTCCCATGCACCCATCAAGTGTTTCTTGTGCCGACTTCCCATAGGTTAAAGTACTGTGAAGCGTCCAGCATGCTTGCATAGCGAGCTGAAAGTGCCTGTCAGGGTCCCATGTTCTGTGAGTCAATTAGAGCCGCAGCGAGCAGCTGCTCTTGTGGGATCCTCTGCCCACTCCCGTGCCGACACCCATGCGTCCCCCTGGTCCTGCATGATGTCTGCCAGGGCAGCAGCGCCCATGAAGACCTGCAAGGGAGTGTGGGAGAGAAATGGTGACACTGATGGGTTTGGGCAATCAAGCAGCTGCTTTGTCAAATACACCATTCTGCATTGGAGCCCTGTGACGAACAACGATTGCACACCAGGTGTTTCCGTCGTGGCACGGCATCGACGTTGATCTTCATCTTCTTTGACCCGGCTTCTGCGGATGTCACGCCCGCCAGGCTGGCATGCAACGTCCTGACATCCTTGGCCAGCCTGGCCGAGCAGCCGGGGAAGAGCGAGCCGCCGCCAGCGAGCACCATTCGCTGGTACAGAGCCCTCCGACAATCGATGTCAGCAGCCTGGCGAGTGAAGATGTTGTGGGTGCCGGGACGTGTTGATGTGCAGGTGGCAGCTTAGATTCCGGTGACGATGATGCGGCAAAGATGGGACATGATTGGGAAAGCAAAGCACGTGCAGCTACCCTGCAGCTTCCTGCGTCCACCTGTATGGCATCGTGAGCCAGCTGGGCCAGTCCAGGCGCCTCCAGGCCCATGACCTGCGGATCAAACAGGACCTCCGGGGCCATGAAGCGCTCAGCACCCAGCCGCAGCCGGTGCCCGTCTGGCAGCGTGTAGGTGGTCACGCCCACCGTAGTCTCCCGGGCCAGCTGGGGGGAGGGGGTAGGGAAGAGGGTCAAGCGGCTGAGTAGTACAGTAGCAGAGCATGCAGTGGCAGTCCGGTGCATGTAGGGCATGCCCCAACGGCAGGCAGGGTTGTGGGAACCTGAATGATGTGCCCAAGGATGCTCAGGGCAGGGCACCCTTTGTGGACTCGGTATGTAGCATGTGTGGACAATCAAGAAGCAGTTATCTTTATCCCCACCTTTGCCTCGGCCTCCCTGTCGACAGCGAGGTAGCACAGCTTCTCCTTGGCTGCTGTGACGGCTGCCAGGGAAGTGTCTCGGCTAAGTGCATACCCCCGCCTTCGCAGCAGGTCCAGCAGGCGGGCTGCCACGTGGCGGCCCCCCACCGCCTGGCTCTTGAAGGCATGCGGCAGGACATACCCGTCTATCACAGGGGCCTGTAAATGATGTATCAGAAGAGGAGCTATACTTACAACTGAGGCATTGTGTGATCTCTGAGGTAGGTGATGAATCCTCAGTCTGGATGCCTAGGGCGACCCACCAAGCAGTACAGCTCACATGGGGGTAACCCACTCACCGCCCGGCACCCCATCTCGCCGCAGTCCAGAACCAGTCCAGTCAGCAGGCCCAGCGCGTAGAGCGTGAGCACAGGCTGGAGCTGAAGGTGGGAAGGGCCAGGACCATGAGTACGAACCAGTGCCGCGCAGAATCTTGGTCCCAGGACGTCTACTCCAATGGATGGATGGTATTTGCAGGAAAGCAGAATCTTGCTCGTATCACCTGCATGAAGACTGCAGAGACGCGGTGCTCTTCAAAGGCCAACTCCAAGCGCTCCTTCCGCTGATGAGCGCTGGTGCCAAAGGGCTCGCAGATGAGCAACCTCCTGCCCTCTGCACCCACTCCCAGGGCTTGGAAAACGCTGTGCCACGACTCACAGCCTCCCTGGTTGGGAGATGGGGGCGGTTCACGGTGTGGAACACGACTGAATCATTCAAAGCAAAGCCGTCTGATTTTGTGCATTGAAAGCCAGGCACCTCACCCCTGGATCAACGGGTCCCTTGCCAAGCTCATTGTCACTCCTGGATCTCAACTCCACGAGAGGGAAGTCTTCTCCCGCCAGGCCTAGTGGCAAGGAGATGTATAGCATGAGACATGGGAAGGAGCAGGGCACGGAGGAGTTTCAGGTCGAAGCCACCTGCGACCTACCCGCACGGATGCCCGAGGCCCCCTGGTCGATAACAACGGCGGGTTTATCCAGGTCAGCCATGAAGATAATTGTAGAATGTACACATGATGCATGCGACACCGGGTGCCCATCGGGCCATCGAAGCTGTCCGGAGTGAGGTTAAATTCGCGCGCGACAAGTCCTCCCCAACCTCACAGTGATTGCACGAGAGCCGAGATGTTACATCACCACGGTCTTCGTCACACAGATTGTCATGCCAGCGATACGTAACGACGCCGAATCCGAGACCTGACCGTGCGCCGACATCAGTGGCTCAGTGAGCGAGGCCTTTCGGTCCTTTATGCTGGCTCTGCACCGCGCCGATTGTATCCCCGGAGCTCCGATGCTGCGGAGGGGCCCTCCTCAGCCGATATACACACTCTGCCGCGAATGGACCCATTGTATCCGTTCGAGATTCTGAGGGGATGCCGAACATGCAGGACATCAATGCGCTCCGCATTGGTGAGGCCTTTGCTCAGGGCGCCCCCGGCCATACCCTGACCTTGCTGTATTTTTATCTTGAAGCGCCTCCAAAACAAGAAACTCGGATCTCACATGCCATGCAAATGTGTCCCTTCCCCGCAGAGCTAGCGGAGAGTGTGACGACCCTGCCTGCAGCACTCCAATCAGAGTTCCCAGACCTCTTTGTCGACTGGTTGGCGTCAGTGTTTCCCTTGGAGTCTCTGGCTGCTCCAGCAGGGTGAGACTGATGGTTTGTGAAGCTCTTCATTGTATCATGCAGGAACCCCTGCTGCGTCTCATGGGAGGTGGTGGAACACCCCCCCTGTGCTATGCTGAGCTATGCTGTGCCTGTGTGCCGAAACGCCAGCATCGACCGTCGTCTTGACTCCTCCACCCACCCTCACGAGACAGGAAGGCATGCCAGGCCAGCGCAAAGGTCCTCGCCCGTACTCAGAACCCCTCGCGCGGACCCCTGCCGTGTGCCGCTAATGCCCGCCGGGCCATGCCCAGCCCCCCGCCCCTGCACTCAGCTGACCTACAGCGTGGCGCGCAGAGGTGCCGGGGTGCAGGGAACCTGGACCTGGTGGCCTGCTCCAGGTGCAACAAGGTGCTGATGCGAGCGGCTGCCGACGCTCACGCGGCCACCTGCCGAGCCAGCGGCGGGGTTCTGAGCAGGCCTGCACCACCCCCCCGCGGGGGTAAGCGGTCCAGGAGTCAGAGCTTCGAGCCCACTCCCTTTGCTGCCGTGCGGGCCAGCCCCCCAGGTGAGGGCGCGCTGTGTGTGCTGCGGCTTGCTGGTCTGGGGTGGGGCAGATGACAATGTGTAGGGGCAGTGGATGCTCTGGCCGCATTCATGATTGTGCATCGCATGCTTTGGCCCGCGGAGTGTCGGATTTCGACGCAGCGTGCCACTTGCATGACTGAAACCCTCGATGCCGCCGAACAAGCCCGTCAATCTCCCCGCCCACCGTGCAGCCCCCTCCAAGGATCCGCTGGATGAGCAGCCCGGGAGCCCCCTGCTCGTCCCTCCCAAGCACGCCCGCGGGAAGCGGTCGGTGACCCCTCAGCGCAAGCGGCAGTACCGGGTGGCGGTGCCCGCCGGCGGGATGGCACTGAACCCCGCCCCGCCCCCCGCCCAAGCCCGTGCAGCACCTGTGGGAAGGCGAGCCCCTGCCCATCTGGCTGCGCCGGGGCCGAGTGCGGCGCCACTCCCGCTCCCCCCACCCGACCCCGTGCAGAGGCCGAGGGTGCCGGCCGTCGATGCCGCGCCGCAGGCGGCACTGATGCGGCCTGAGGCCCAGTACCAGCAGCACCAGGCTCGGTACCAGGGGCAGGCGGTGGCCGTGCAGCCGCGGCCGGCGGGGCCTGGCAGCGCGTCGCAGCCGGGGTCCTCCGGGCCGGCGCCCCCGCCCCGGCCGCCGGGCGTCGGCGGCGATCACGACACCGCTGGCGCGCCGCCCGCGCCCGACCCCCGGCCCCTCGCAGATGCTGGCGGACCTGACGCCAGCGCAGCGCCAGCAGCTCCTGCTGCACCACGCTATCCTCATGCAGCGCCAGCGTCAGGTGGCGCTGCAGGCACAGCAGGCTGGCCTGCCGGGTCAGCGTGGGTCCCTGCCTGCGCAGGGCCCGCTGCGGCTGCAGCCCACGGGCCCCAGGCAGACCGCGCAGGCGCAGGCACAGCAGGCGCAGCAGCAGCGACACGCAGCGCAGCTGTTTGCCGCGCAGCAAGCGCGCATGTTTGCCCCCGGACAGGCGCCCGCCGTGGTGAGCGGCCGCCCGCTGCCCGGTCCCCACCCCGTGCGGCAGGGGAGCAGCACGCTTCCCCCTGCAGCGTCCGCCCCCCTCCCGCCCGCCGGCGGCCCCGGCTGGGCGCCGGTGCAGCGACCTGGCGCGGGCGGCTGCGCCCCGCACGCTTTCCTGGGCTTCCAGACGCCCTACGGAGCGGCGGCGGCGTACGGTGCGGGCCCTCTCCCGCAGCACGCTTACCCGCAGCAGGCATACCCCCCCCCGCAGCACCTGCGGGGCCAGGTCCGGCCCGCCGACCCGGCGCCGTCGGTCCCTGCCGCCGCGCTGAGCTACGGCGATCTCATCCGGCGCTGCTCGCCCACTCCGGAGCTGTCAGGGACACCCTCCCTGCCCAATGGTGCCTCGCCCCACGCCTCGGGCGGGGGCGCGGCCGAAGCCGCGTCGCCGTTCCTGCCGTCGACGGGGGACTGGAGCCTGCCCCACTTCTCGCACGCCTCGCCCTCGCTCACGCAGCTCCTGCGCGGCGGGTCGGGGGCTCAGCAATCCCAGGGGCCGCTGGTCTTCGTTCCCGACATCAGCCCCGGCGCGGGGTGAAGGGTCCTCTGCGTGCCCGGTCCTGGTGCCCAATTGCTGAGCCATGCGCGCACACCGTCACCTGCCTGTGCTCGGCGGCAGACGCAGCTTTCCGTGCATGCACCATCTGGTCTGGCCCACCCTACCGCTTGCAACTCCAAAAGGAGCCGCGATAACCGGCAGTGCAAACCTTGGTTCAGACCCTGAGAAAGGCTGCCATGAAACGGTACAGACGGGCAGCAAATTTCAGTATCAGCTTGCACTGCAATATCTTTGTATTATTACATAGTGTGAGCGGATGCAGTGACAAGAGAGATGTTATGGTGTGTCTTTTACAAGGGAACCTGGTACACACTTCTGCACAGCTTCAGCAATTTCCCCACTTCCCTCGCTCGCGCTCAGGCCTTCAGGTACTGGCCCAGGTCCTCGCCCGACAGCTTCTCCAGCTCGGCAAACAGCGACTGCGCGGCGGCCTCCACAGCCGGCTCGCCATCCTCCAGCAGCTCCGCCAGGAAGGGCAGCGCCTCCGGCAGCAGCGCCAGGTACTCCTCGCCCAGCGCGGAGACCAGTGCGCGGAGCGCACCCAGCGCGGCCAGGCGCGTGGCACCCTCGCGCGCGCGCGTCCGCATCAGTACCTTGTGCTGCAGCGGCTTCCAGGCCGCGTCCCCGCCTGCGGAGAGCGCCAGCTGGGCCAGGGCGCCGGCAGCCGAGCGCTCCAGCGGGGAAAGCGTGGGCGGCCCGGCACCGGCGCCTACGCCGCTCGTGGCGCGCTCCTCGGCGGGCGCAACCAGCGCTTCCACGGCCCACGCCTCGTCCCGCAGCGCGGCGGCGACCTCCGGCGGGGGGTGCGCCTGCAGCAGGTCCACCAGTGGGGTGAGCACCCGCTCCACCTTGGCCTCGTCCAGGAAGCGCGGCTCCGCCGTGTCGTACTGGAAGGCACGGTGCAGCGCGCGCGTTGCCTGGAGGCAGTGTGTGAAAGGGGGGCTGTGAACGTGTCAGATGACACTCATTCATACATGGGTGTAAAATGTTGCAGGATTGCTGCGCACGCGAGGCCACTGAGACGACGTGCACTGCCATCTGTATGGAGGTGATAGGGCTGGCGGCGAGGGTTCTCAGTTTGCGCGGCATTGTGTGCTCTCGAAACCCTTAACCCCCCCACACCGTCCATCCCCCTCTCAAACCCTCACTTACCCTGAGGGCCAGCTGCCAGTCCGCGGGCGTGGGGTCTGCAGCACCTTCCCGCTCGGCGGCGCCGCTCTTGCGCCGCTTCTTCTCCGGCGCGCCGGCCCGTGCCGCGCTGCCGCTGCCCGACACGCGGTTCAGCGCCCGGACCGCGTCGTCCAGCAGCGGCTTGTAGTAGGGCACGAAGATGGCGCGCAGATTCTCGACCAGCGCGTTGACCGCGCCGAAGAAGGCCAGCAGGCGGTGCGTGGGGAGGGCCGGGTTGGCGGCCGCCTCCGCGGCGGGGACGTGGGTGGCCCAGTCGTGCAGGCGCAGGAACAGGGGCTTGAACCGCGCCTCGGACAGGCGCAGTGCCAGCGCGCACAGCAGGCCCAGCGCGGCGGCCTCGACCTCGGCTGCGGCGCGGGGCGTGGCCGCGAAACGCGCGCGCAGGCCCAGTGCGCGCAGCAAGAAAGCGAAGAGCGGTGCGTGGTGCGTGGCCACCTCGGACGGCATCATGCGCGCCAGCGTGGCGCCCAGCGCGCGCAGCAGGCCCAGCGCGGAGCGTGGGCCTGCGGCCGCCGCCGCCTCCAGCGCGTCCATGGCGGGCTGGAGGAAGAGGCGCACAGGCACCGCGCGGGCCAGCCGGTCCGTGACCCCAGCGGCCAGCCGCTGCGCGGCCGTGGGCGGTGGTGCCATTGCAGTCGCTGCGCTTTCCTCCCCCACGCCGCCGCCGCCCTGGGCCACCAGCGCGGGGCGCAGCAGCGCCGCCAGCAGCGCGCCGACGTGGGGCGCCAGGAACGCGCCCAGCGCCTGCACCAGCGCGTCCAGCGCCGCCAGCGCCGCCAGCAGCTCCAGCGCGCCCTGCGGCGACGACGACGACGATGACGTCGCCGCGTCGCTCGGCTTCTCGCCGGCTCCCATGCCGGCCTCGACGGCCTCCAGCCCGCTTTGCACGCCGTGCACCGCGGCCTTCAGAGTCGCGGGCAGGCAGGGCAGCAGCGCGGGGCCCAGCGCGTGCGCAAAGGCGGCGGCGGCGGCTAGCGCGCCGGCGCGCACGGTCGCGCGCGCGTCGGCGTCTGCGGCGGCAGCCACGGCGGGCAACATCGCCAGCAGCGGCGCGGAGGCCCCCGCCGGAGCGGCGGCCGCCAGCGCGCCCGCGGCCGCCAGTGCGCCCTCCGCTGCCGAGGACCGGACGGCGGGGAGCGTGGCCAGCAGCGGCGCCAGCGCAGCGGACAGCGCCGTCAGCGAGGCCGCGTCGACAGATGCACCGCGCGCGCTCACGCGCCGCGCGTGTGCGGCCAGGAGCTGCAGCGCCTTTCGGCGCACACGCTCGCCTGTGGCAGGCGCGGAGAGCAGCGCCGCCAGGGACGCGAGGTAGGCGGGCGCGTCCACCACCTCCTGCAGCGCCTGTGTGTGGAGGCGAGAGTGGGGGCATTCGGCGGTGTGTGGTGAGGTCGAGCTGCAAGCAAATGTGACCAAGGGGCTGCCTCACCCCAGCCTGCCCCGTGCGCGAGGCAGGACCATGGGCGTGATACCTCTCCCGCCTACTCGTCTCACCACCAGTGCACATCTCCCATTGCTCTTCCCCCTTCCCTCTACCCTGCTCCTCACCGCCAGCAGGGCGTCGAGGCCGGCCTGTACGGCCGGGTCGCCGCCCTTTCTCACCACCTGCACGTACTCCAGGGCCTGGGCCATCACCAGCGCGGCCGCCTCGCCACGTAGGCCGTGCGAGCGTCGGACCTGGGAGGTCACGAAGGCGACGGCGGCGCGGGGGAGCGGGGCGCCGGCGCCCTGCGGGCCCGCGCCGCGCAGGGCCTCCGCCAGGACCTGGGCGAGGACGGGGGGGACATCCTCCTCCGCCACCTGCAGCGAGGAGGAGAAAAGGAAGGGGGAATGGGGAAACACAGGTGCGAGAGTAAGAGATGTCGCATATCGTGCTTTTCAGAGTCCAATTTCCCCCAGACCTAGGAAAATACACCCCCACCCCCCAGTCCAGGCCTCAGGCGCAGCCATTCGCATGGCTGCTTTGATTGGTCTTGTCGTCAGCACAGTGTCAGACTGACGTGCAAACAGGATTCCTCATTGGCCGGCAGACAGGGAGTGCTGGTAAAAAAGGCACGTAGATGCACCACCCACCCCACCTCCCCTGCCCCCCCAGCCCACCCTTCCCACACAGGAACATGACTCACCGAGGAGAGGAGGGCCGCCGCCAGGGACTGGTGCTCCAGACCAGTGTCCTCCTCCTGGCTTTCCTCCCGAGAACCCACATGCGCGGTAGGGTCCAGCAGGACCAGGGTCACGGGCACCACGCCCATGGCGGGCAGCAGGGCGCGGAGGAAGTCGGCGCGCTGCGGCAGCGGCCGGCGCGCGCCGGCCGCGGCCACGCGCGCCGCGAGGGCGGCGGGATCGCCGCCGGCGCCGACCCAGGCCGGCGCCGCAGCGGCCAGCGCACGGATGACCGCCGCGCAGGCGATGCCGTCAGCCGCGGTTCCGCGCAGGCCGCCCTCGTCAGCCGTGGCGCTCCCGGCGGCCAGCTCCAGCGCGAGCGCCAGCGTCGCGTTGGCGTCGGCGGCCGTCAGGCTGGCGGCCAGTTGCAGCGCCGCCGCCAGGGAGCCGGATCCGGGGGCCGCCCGCGCCCAGCGCATTGCCAGGTCCAGCGCAGGCGCCGGGTCGGCGCCGGCCAGCGCCAGGCGGTCCAGCGCGGAGAGCACCAGCTGGGCGGCGTAGTCGGTCGACGCCGGGGTCGGGGCCCCTGCCGAGGTCGCGGTCGTGTCTGTGGCAATCAGACGGCCCAGCAGCGCCTCCAGGGCCGGCACAAGCTCGCCTGACGTGGGCGAGCGGGCCGCGGGGTGCCACTGCATGAGCTCCAGCACGGGCAGGCACGCTCCCAGCGCCGCCTCTGTGAGGAGGGGGGAGTGCTCGAGCGGGGTTCAGGGCGTATCACCGCGATCCCGCTGGAGCAGAGAGCGAGGCGCCTGCGCAGGAAGCAGCCACCACAGCACCGACCCAAACGGCCCCGCCTGCCAGTGGCTTGCTGCTGTCGTCCTGCAAGGAGGCAGCAGCCTTGCGCCGCTTGACGGGAGTCTGCGGGACCAGCTCGCCGGCGCTCCCGGCCGCGGCCCGCAGCCGCCTGGCCAGGAGCCCAGGTCCCAGCGACAGGCGGCGCAGCGCGGCCGCCGCGGCCTCGCGCACCTCCTCGCTGCCGTCCTTGCCTGAGGCAGCCAGTAGCGCCGACACCGCCGCGTCCAGCCCGGTGTCGCCCAGGGCGGCCGCGATCTCGTCATCCAGGGCCGCCGCCGCGGCGGCGCGCAGCGGGGCGGGGGCGCCCGGCGCCAGCGCGAGGGGCAGCAGGGCGGCGGCGTGAGCCTCCCCCGCGGCGGCCAGCAGCCCGCAGGCCAGCGCCGCGTCTGGGGCGGGGGTCCCGCGAGAAAACAGGGCGACGAGCGCGTCGGCGGCCGCGCCGGGCAGCAGGGCGTCCGTGCCTGGGCCGTCGCCCGCCTCGAACGACAGCGCGGTGAGCAGGGTCGTCGCCTCCGCCACGTCAGCGCGGGCGGCGGCGCGCACCAGCTCGCCCGCGAAGAGATGCGCCAGCGAGGCCGGGCCGCCCTCGGCGGCGCCGCCGGGCTCCTCCCGCCGGGCCCCGCGCGGCGTCTTGCCGCGTCGCCCGGGCGAGGGCGTGACGGGCGTGGCGGCTGCGCACGCGGCCGCCTCCGTGGGGACGAGGGGCGCGGCGGCGGCGGCGGCCAGGAGGCGCGCGGCCTCCGCGGGCGCGGCCTCCGGGTCGCGTCGGATGCGGTCCTCGGCGGCCAGCAGGCCCACCAGGAAGGCGCGGCCCTGCTCGCGCAGGGGGCGCAGGTCGGCGCGCGCCAGCGGCCACCAAACGTCCAGCTCGTCGTGCACGGCGCGCAGCGCGCGCAGCGCAGCCTTGCGCACGCGGCGCTGCCTGTCGCCCAGCGCAGTCAGCAGGCTGGCCAGGGCGGGGGGGCCCTCTGGGAGGACCTGGGAGGCGGGGCCCTCCACGGAAGCGACTGCTCCGACAAAAAAATCTGACCACCGGCTCAACGCGGCCTCACGAGCCTCGGGACCGGCGCCCGTCGTCATCTGCGAACGGAGGAACGCTGACGCCCAGGGCGCCGCATCCGCCATTTTCTGGATGAAGAGATCTTCAAGACGAACCATGTTCTCTCCTGCCATGCAAGCAAACAGCTCTCCCGCACCCTGGCGTCAGGAAGGAGTGGGAGGGGTTACGACATGAGGGGCCATGAGTGAGGAGCCGCCGGGGACCTCTCGACCAGGCAGTGAGCTGGTACTCCTCAGCCAACACCGCGGGCCCTCGCCGACCGACGGCAAGGCCCTGCGCGGGCACCCGTCTACCCACCCCCGCCCCCCAGCACCCACCAGCTGCTGGATGCACTCCGCCGGCGCAGCCTGCAGCGCGCCCTCGATGACCAGGCGCTCGGCCGGCAGCACCACCCCGCGTTCGAGGCAGTGCTGCAGGACGATGCGGGCGAGCTGGGCGGGCCAGTCGTCGTCGGCGGGCTCCAGCAACCTTTCGTACAGCAGGCAGGTCGCAAGACTGGCGGCCGCGTCCTCCGCGGCGCACGGCTCCGCGCCGGCCCGCCCCGGTACGCACGCCCAGAAGGCCTGCAGGGCCTGCATGCAGGCCGCAGGGTCGTCCCTGCCACGCGTTTTGAGCCAGGTCTTGGCCTCACCAATCCAGTATAGGGCTCGACCAGCCTCGGTCGTCTCCTCGCACGGCTCTGTGGGCTCGCCGAGCCCGGCCAGCAGCGGGTGCGTCGCCCGTGGGAGGCAGAGGAAGACCTCGCGGGCGGCGGTGACGATGGGGAGCATGTGCTTGTTCGGCCACAGCGTGCCCAGCATGGCCGCGACGACGGCCGGGCTGGCATCCAGTCGGCCAACAAGAGGCAGGGCCTGGCAGGCCACCCGGACCAGCGCTCCGCGCTGACTCTTTGGCACGCCCTTCTCTAGGAGCTGTGGAGGCGGAAGGAATCGGGAGGGGGTCGGTTCAGGTCTGAGTTTCTGCGCTGCAATGCTGCGGAGTGCGCTGCGCATCAATTGGCGCTTGAGCGGCGCCAGCGTCCCCCCGCCCCCGTCCCTGCCAGGCGACCCGTCCCCGCACCTGCCAGTCGGCCACCCAGCCCCTGCCCTACCTTGCTGACGGAGCGATTCAGGCACGCCAGCAGCTCGGTCTCGGCCTCGCCCGCCCGCTCGGCCAGCACGCCGACGCCCAGCGCCGCCTCGACGACCACAGGGTCGTCGTCGGCCAGCCGCCGCGCCGCCGCGTGCAGCAGGAAGTCGCGCAGGTCGCCTACCGGGTGGACGGCGGCGCGGGTCATGGCGTCCAGCTTGCGCAGCGCCTGCGCGGGATTTTAAGGTGCAGATGGTGATGGTTTTATTTTGTATGGAGAGGGTGCATCGCGGAGCGGCGCGTGGGATCCAGGTCCGGCAGGAGCCTGCTGCCCCAGCAGCCCCTGCCCGCCCGCGACAGCCCCTCCCTCTGCCTCAGCGGCCGCCAATCTGCCTCGCTCCACTCTGCAGGCACCCTCCCACTCAGCCCACTTCCAAACCCACGCCAGCGCACCGCAACGCGCAGCGCCGGAGCGGGGGCGTCCACAGCGAGCTGCAGCGACAGCCCCTCCCCACCCTCCACCTCCTCCAGTGGCGCGCGCTTGGTTCCCGGGAAGGCGTCCAGGAGCAGCGCCGCCACGGCCGGCCCGGCACCGCCGCCGGCCTCGCTCACGCGGGCCGCCAGCGCCGCGTCCAGCGCCGTCGGGTAGCGCAGATCCAGCACGCGGAGGGCGCGCTGGAGCACGCGCCGTGCTGCGGGCCCCTCTCCCGCCGCGCCGTCCAGCACGCAGCGCGCGGCGGCCGGCGCCGCGGCGCCCAGCGGCACGCCCGCCAGCACTGCGTCCAGTAGGCGCTCGTGGTGCGGGCTGGTCGGCGCGGCGCGCACCAGCGGCGGCAGCAGCGCGCGGAGCAGCGCCGCGAGCGGTGCTGCGTGGCAGGCCAGCAGCGCCAGCTCGTTGGCCAGGCCGGGGACGGCTGCCAGCGCCTCCAGCGCCCCAGCGGGTAGCACCGCCAGGTGCGGCTGGCGGCTGGCCAGGGACATGAGCAGGAGCAGGGTGGAGGGCAGCGTGCTGGCCGTGGCCGCCTTGCACAGGTCGGTCGCCAGGGCTGTGGAGGGGGAAGGGAGGAGGGCGGTGGGTGTGCGACTGTCGGAGAGGCACTGGGTGGCGCTCTTTGTGGCTTTACTTGGACAGGGGTGTCCCCTGCGTGGCAGTGGACACGGCCAGTGCAAACCCACACAAATAAATGACACCCAAGGGGGGGTCCATCATCGTCGCTCGGCAGGCGTCAGGGAATACAAACTGTAAGTCGCTCAGGGGGCCCGTCGCGCAGCAGCCCTCCCGAGGGAGAGAGCCGTGCGGCGGCCGCTTCGCTCTCTTCATAGTCTCTCATCACCCGCCAGCCGAGGCAATAATGTCGTAGCCTCTTGCCTCATCACCCAAGGGCGGAAGCCTACCGCCAGGTCACATGCACGTGCTGGGCCTCGCAGCCTCAGACCCGCCCCATCAACACAACCTCCACACACGCTCACACCTGTCACGAGTTCGGTTCCCAGGGCGGCGCGCGCCGACAGCTGGCCGATGATCATGAGGGTGGCGGCACGGTAGTCGGGCAGGGCCTCAGGCCCCAGCCCCGCCACCAGGTACGGCAGCAGGAGGTTGGCGGTGTCCTCGGTGACCTACCAAGGGGGGTGGAGTGGAGAACAGAATGGTATGATTACCGCATGGTGTATGCCGAGGACGTCACGGAACCTGGGGTCCAGGCCACGGTGATACACAGCTCTGCACACCATGGACACGACAATCGCACTCAGACTGAGACGAAGTAACCCCCTTCACAGCCTGCACACCCACCTGCTTGAGGCCGGCGAGATACTCACACACCACTGCTGCGTAGAAGGGGAGGGCGCCGCGGCTAGCGTAGCTGCCCGACCCCGTCTTCTGGCCCAGCTCCAGCACGAATCGGATCAGCGCCTTTGGTTTTGTGTGGGATGGTGGGGAGAGTGGGTGTTGGTGCTGCTCCTCCATGGAGATGTGGAGTTGACCATGCAATTAGGGAGTAGCACTGGTTGCACTCAGGATTCCAAGGGCCTGACTGTAGTCCAAGGGGTCTTGAACCCACTACAGGCTGTACAGCAGACATCACGCAAGATGCATGGTGCAAGTGAACCACCCTGGCGCACCCTCACCCAACATGCGGGACACCATCACCCCAAGAACCCATCGCCCCAAACCCGCTGGGCCACCTTGTCTGTGATGCAGCGCAGGACGAGGGTGGAGCGCGGCAGGGCCGCTCCGCTCTCCTGCATGGGCTCCAGGAAGTCGAAGAGGGTGCCCCGCAGGCGCAGCAGCTGCACCAGGCGCACAAACTGGTTGGTGGCGTGGAAAGGCAGCGCGGCCAGCATCAGGCTGTCCACGTTGTGCTCGTGCACGGCGTAGCGGCGCAGCAGGTACTCCAGCACGGGGAAGGCGGGGGGCAGGAGGAAGGAGGAGGACAGGAGTGTGCACAGCCGGGTGACGGCGGCATCGATGCCGGCCCCTACCCCCACGCTCTGCTGGCTCCGGTCCAGGGTGATGGAGCTGGGGCTGAACAGGGTGGACTGGAAGGCCTCGTATCGCTTGTCCAGCTCGCAGAGCTGGCGGAAGGCTGCGCGTGTGTGGGTATGTGGAGGGATGGGAAGAAGCGGCGCGTTCTCAAGAGGCCAAGAGGGGTGCGCGTGGAGCGCGGCATCAGCACGCATAGGGTCCAGCAGGGTGTTAGGCAATCCATGGCCCAAAACAGGGTCGTGGGCGCAACCCATGGCGCATGCCCGGCACCCACTTCACCAGTCACCAGCCCGACGGCTGCATTCCGGACAGCCAAGCCCCTCACCTTCCCGTCCTATGCTGTACACGGTCTCCACATCCACATCGGCAGCCTCCTGTGTCGACCATATCAAGCTTGGCTTCCCGCGCAGGCGCTTGCCCCCGGCAGGCTGGCCAGACGCTACGGCCAGCTGCCTGAGCTGCTGTGTGAGAGCGGTGGCCATGCCTGGGAAGGCAATGGTTCCCGCGTGAAAGGAGTGATGCTAAATTTTGTATCGATGATAAATGTACATGCATATGTCGGGTGTGAATTGCAGGCAAAGTATTCCCCGTGTGGGCGCCCCCCAGGCTCGCGCGCGCTCGGGGCCAAGTCAGTAACAAGAAGAAACCGGGAGCGCAAATCAATCGGGTCGCCTCGGGTTCTGGCTGTCGACAGGCTGCGCCATGGGGGTTCGATTGGACGATGTGCAATCGAGGCTGCGCTGATTGTGACAAATCTCCTCGGCGATTCCAGTCCGACCCACCAAAAGCATGCTCGGGACACAGGCTTCGCTCGCGTGCCCTCTCAACACGCCGAGCCACCCCGGGAAACCCGACATGCTCTGAGTTGCACTGGAGACCAGGCCTCCAGCTCCATCCTCACCCTCTCATTCGAATCGAGTGGACGGTTAACAAACAAAAATGTCCGCCGTGACCGGCCTGTCATGGAGCGGAGACAGCCTCGAGGGCCTGGGCTGGGGCAGCCGGGTCTGGGTCCTGGCCGATGGCACCTGGTGCCCCGGCACTCTCGCCTCTACGGGCCGCGACTCCGCGACGCTGGAGGTCTTTCTGGAGGGCGCCGGGAAGTCGCGGTCCTTCCCGGCGCGGGACGTGGCCCCTGCCAACCCGGTGGACCAGGAGTCCAGCGACGACCTCACCACCCTGCCCTTTGTCACCGAGCCGGGCCTCCTGCGCTGCCTGCAGAGCCGGTTTGACCACGACGCGGTCTACACCACTGCCGGGCCTGTGCTGGTGGCTGTGAACCCCTTCAAGCCCGTGCCTCTGTATGATGTGGAGGCCCACCGGAAGGCAGCCACGCCCGGCACCCCCCACGTTTACACCGTGGCCCAGCACGCATTCTCCCAGGTGACTGTCGAGCGCACTGGAGCTGAGTGGGGTTGGCAACGTGTGGCTCTGGATGCAGCTCATGTCAACCTGCGGTTGCATTTTCCTGGTCAGGTGTGGTGGCTGTATCTCCTGCCACACTCTCTCTCTGCCTTGTGGAATGTGCAGATCCCTTTCGCACATCCCTCCCTCCGCCTGCTCAACAACACTTTTCATTACAGATGAAGGAGACGGGCAATTCTCAGAGCATCCTCATCACTGGCGAATCTGGGGCAGGGAAGACGGAGACCACCAAGTTTGCAATGCAGTACCTAGCCGTTCTGGCTGGGGGTTCCGGCATGGAGGTATATTGTTATGTTTCGGCGATGGGCGCATCGTCTGGCTCCCCGCGACTCAGACGGGACATGACGCATCAGTTCTCCCATGTTGGGTTTTGAGCGTGACCGATGCGTTCGACATGGGCCCCACAGCCAACCTGTCATGCCTGTCCACCAATGTGAGCGCAAAGGTCGGCAGTTAGTTCCCCTTTCCCTTCATTCACCCCTTCTTCCACTCCACCACCTTGCAGCGCCGCGTCCTGGACTCCAACCCGCTGCTGGAGGCCTTTGGCAACGCCTCCACGCTGCACAACGCCAACTCCTCCCGCTTCGGCAAGCTGACCACCATCCACTTTGACGACCGGCACGCCATCGCGGGCGCCACCATCCAGACCTACTTGCTGGAGAAGTCGCGCGTGGTGTCCCACGCCGTCGGCGAGCGCAGCTTCCACGCTTTCTACCAGCTCTGCGCGGGCGCTGGCCCCGAGGAGCGCGCCGCGCTGGGGCTCCCGGATGCCGCGGCCTGCCGCTTCGCCTACCTTTCAGGCGGCGAGAGCACCCCCCCCGCGCTGGGCCCCAGCGACGCGGCCGGCTTCGCCCAGGTGAAGGCCGCCATGGAGGCGCTGGGCGTGCCCGCGCCGCCCGTGCTGCGCCTGCTGGCCGCCGTGCTGTGGCTGGGCGACGTCGCCTTCTGCGACGATGGCCAGGGCGCGGCGGGGGGGGGGGGG